TCTATCATTTTGAGCCATACAATGTATTGTTGGCTATTGCTACAAATATACCCCAGCGACTTAACACTGCTTTTGTGCTCCAGGGTCACAAATATACTTCAGTACTATATACTGCAGAAATGGCAGCCTATTGAGATCATGTGTACAACAACTAATCGATAAAATGAAAATAATCAACAACAAATTTCATTAGTCGGGTCAGTGATTAGTAAAAGCAGTTTAAAGTAAAGAAAACATACAGAATACACATATATATAGTTTTTAGAAAATGTTTATATATTTGCATAATGTATGCATTTTTATTATGCATAACAGCAAGCGATTAAAAGTTAAATTAAATAGCCGACACACAACACCAATCGAATGAAGTGTAACAGCGAAAGGAAGTGCAATTATTTGCATCAAACAATATTTCTTGATAAAAATCTAATTTAGGTTTTAAATTAACCAACTGACACTTTTTATTTAATCTTTTATGAAACTTGTTTATTTAAAAAGTTCTGCTGTTACGACTGTGATTTTTTAAAATCATTTTATATTGTAAAATTAACATTTTTAAATATCTTTGCACACACAAACGTACAACAGTTTTGAATAATTAAGATTTTTTTACGTTTTTGAATGAGTCTCTTCTGCACACAAAGGCTGCATTTATTTGATCAAAAATACAGTAAAAACGGTAATATTGTGAAATATTTTTACTATTTAAAATAACTGCTTTCTATGTGAATATCTGTTAAACTGTAATTTATTTCTGTGATCAAAGCTGTATTTTCAGCATCATTACTACAGTCTTCAGTGTCACATGATCTTCAGAAATCATTCTAATATGCTGATATTAAATCCACTTCATTTTGCACATTCGATTTGCACAAGGAGAGCACTGAATATCTGATTTATCAATTATTTAATGAAAACAATTTCAGATTACGTGATTATCAACGCAGTTGTTAGTTGCAGGCAGTCATGTGACATCACTGTTGCGTAATCTCTACTGTCACTAGACTGTAGCCTATGATACCTTGATGATGTCACGGTAGCCACGGATACGGCAGGGGTGGGCGGGATCCCGCTCCCGGTCATCCTCGTCTTCCTCAGTGGCGGCGTAGCCTTCATCGGCACAGGAGTCGCTCTCTGCGTCGGCCACGTTGGTCATGAGGTCGATGAGCTGCTCGAGCGGCGGACTCAGCTCTCGCTCCTCGTTCTCCTTCAGCCCGTAATCCAGAGCCTTATAGATCATGATGCCCAGAGACTCGATCGCCTGCGACAAAAACCCAAAGACACATTAACTGCAATAAATGTATTTCATTTCTTCAGTGTTTGTGTTGTTTTTCACTAAAAAATATCTGAACGTGCTTCAAACTAGATATATTTACTTGCATGAGATTCACGCAAAAATTAAAATTCTGTCATCATTCACTCACCCTCAAGTCGTTCCAAACCTTTATGAGTTTCTTTCTTCTGTTCAACACAAAAGAAGATATTTTCAGGAATGTTGGTAACCAAAGAGTTGACGGTAGCCATTGACTTCCATAGTATTTTTTTTCCATTCTATGGAAGTCAATGGCTACCGTCAACTCTTTGGTTACCAACATTCCTTAAAATATCTTCTTTTGTGTCCAACAGCTGAAAGAAATTCATACAGGTTTGGAACGACTTGAGGGTGAGTAAACGATGACAGAATTTTCATTTTTGTGTGAACTATCCCTTTAAGGCTTGTTTTAGAGAATATAACTTAACATAATATCTTGGCAGTATTTCTGGTAAACACAGTCAACAGTTCTGGGAATTCTAGTGCATTAGATTCAATCCCAGGGATTTCAGTGCACTGGAATGATTTCGACTCCTTGAGAAGTGCACTTAATACTGAAGTCGGGATATTTGAGACACAATCTCAATCGACACAGATACACCAGACGGTTTTTTTTTTTTTTACACAAGAACATCAAATACATTTTGTGCCACAAGAACCTCAATGCTTCCAACAACAGCAGGTTTCAAGTTTTTCTTTCGGCTGAACTGATGCGGTGAAGCTTACTCTGTGACCTGATATGGTGAAACTAGTCTGCTTACATTGTGTAAGGCCTGTTAAAACAAATGTCAACGGCTGTAAGGCGTCAACGAAACCATAAAAGCCTTTGGTTTCTTATATCACATTTAAACATACCGGATACTAACTTTACTTCAGAACCCAAACCTGTAACCTGTGTTCAAAATAATCGGGGTTGTATGATCCTTTACCTTGTGCAGTTTTGTTCAAGGTTTTTGAGGATGAGTTCACATCACATTACAGTCAGAATGGAGTCAAAATTCTGTCGTGTTTGACTGGACACACGATCTTTGAAACCATCAAAAATATATTTTCTTCTCGCTTATACAAGCGGATAATCAGAACAGACCCGTGACCCATTTTTCAGGCTGTGAAGAACCAGTCGAGAACCACTAAGATAACAGGATATAGAGACGCGTTTTTTAATTACTGACTAATTAGTGTAGAATTGTTATTTGCACACCCTTCGGTGACTTATTGTTTATTTTATAATATGCCATAAAAACATTTTAAAGTCACACTAACACACAGAATACTGAAAAAAATGTTTGGGATCTGCAAGATTTTAAAAATATATTCATGATAGAAGTCTCTTCTGGTCATCAAGGCTGCATTTTATTTGATCAAAAATGCAGTAAAATTGCTAAATATTATTACAATTTCAAATAACTGCTTTCTATGTGAACATCTGTTAAAATGTAATTTATTTCTGTGATCAAAGCTGTATTTTCAGCAACATTACTCCAGTCTTCAGCGTCACATGATCTTCAGAAATCATTCTAATATGCTGATTTGCTCGAGAAATATTTCTGATTATTATCAATGATGAAAACCATTGTGCGGCTCAATATTTTTGTAGAAAGTTCAAAAGAACAGCATTTATTTGAAATACAAATCTTTTGTATCTTCCTTTATTGCTAGAAATATTTTGTAACATTATTAATGTCTTTACTGTAACTTTAGATCATTTTGATGTCTTTGGTTAATAAAAAACGTTTCTCCAAACGTTTGAACAGTGCATATGCAAAATGAATTGGATTGAGTCTTTAAAATGGTTTACGAGAAATATACAGTTCTGATGGAGTCTTTGATAATGTATATGCACCTACCAAAGAGCATCACAAATAAATAGGTGTTTAAACTGGTAAATAATATAATAAAGATGTTAACTTCTTGTATTTTAGTTTGAGTGTGTACATCTTTCCACATGGTTAATGGTAAAATCTTTTGACGGCCAGTGATCAAAACTCTGTCCAACTTCTGTAAAGGCATAAAGAGTGCTTTGTTACTCTTTGTGATGTTAATCAGACCCGAACAGTTTACCAACAGATTCTTAAAATGAATTTCATCCAGAATGCAGGAGCCTGCAGTGAAGTGAACAACAGACTCATTCACTGAGATGTCCAGCGGCCCATTACATCCACAAATACAATCACCGGGTAATAACAGCTTCAGTTTAGAAACTGATCATTAACCCCGAGAATCTCATAAAGAAAACAATCAAGACTGAGTTAATGAAAAGCATCTGATGTTCTGTCTAAACCAAAAGTCAGTGGAACACGGGAACTGGATCTATATAGCACTATCAGGTCTTTGTGCAAAGCGTCTAACTGCATCAAGTTCTTGTGTCTGATGGATGTCAAATAATCCAGCACAAGAAACTGAAATACAAGGAGCACAAATCAATATGTGCGAATAACAATGCACACCTTCTGCGGCTTTAATTTACACAGACAATGTAAAAAATAATTCACTCCATAAGATTATTGGAGTACGCTTTACTAGAAAATACTTTCAGTCTTTCTACTTCAAAATTTCACGTTTAGTTCAATGTGTTACTTGGTATGCCTTTGTAAAAGAAATATAAAAAAAATACATCAAAACTGTTAACTGAAATAAAATATAAATATTAGGATGAAACACTAATATTAGTTGAAGCGCTAAAATTATATTGAAATAAAATCTAAAACTGAACTAATACTAAAATAAAAATAAAAAATATTTATTTGGTTTATTTGAATAGGGACAGTTATAATACACATAGATAAAACTGCAAACAAACAAACAAAAATAGCCATCCAGTGCAAGTAACAGTGTTTATAGCAAGAGCTAATTTGCAACACTCGTCCCTAGAAGGGCTTTTACTGACATTTTATTGACAAAAACACATAACAAAATACTAAAAATTAAACTGACATTTAAACAAAAACTGAAAATATAAAAATAAAAGCAATTTGTGAGTAAAAGTAAATCCTACACCAGTAGACGATCACCTTAAAGGGGTCATATGATGCTGCTAAAAAGAACATTATTTTGTGTATTTGGTGTAATGAAATGTGTTTATGCGGTTTAAGGTTCAGTCACCATACTGTGATGCCGTGTCCCAGCCGGAGCAATGAGACAAAAACATTAAAACCCATTATAAACGAGGCATTTGTTGCATTTGCATCATATAACCCTTTTAACTCTCTGCATAAAGTCCAGTCCAAATCATTCTGGCCAAGAACTGCCCACTAAAACGGAAAGAGACTGTCTGATTGAAATAAAAAGCAAGCGGACACAGAAAACACAGCAGAATACACTGTTCTGCTTGTGGATGTCTAGTTTAGTTTGCTATTAAATGCCTTGTGCAAAACTCTGAACACTTCTTGCCGTCTGTCTGAGAGGCAGGAACTCATTGCTTCTGGAACGCTGCTTAATAGGCATTTGACTATGGAGTGCGTCTCATATACACATACTGTAAGACAGGTTTGCGTGTGTGTTTGTGTCCTTATACACCAGCATACGGTGATAGACCTGTCACTGCTGACAGTTACTAATGAAACCACATTAAAGTGATTTCTGGAGGATCATGTGACACTGAAGACTGGAGTAATGATGCTGAAAATTCAGCTTTGATCACAGAAATAAATTACAGTTTAACATGTATTCAAATAGAAAACAGATATTTTAAATTGTAATAATATTTCACAATTTTACTGTTTTTGCTGTATTTTTAATCAAATAAATGCAGCCTTGGTGAGCAAAAGAGACATAAATAAACAAGTGAGATTAAGCACTTCCTTTAGTAAATGAATTGATTCTCTGAATTATCCAAAAATATGCATTGCCACATTTATTTGATGAATGTCCTGCAAAAAGTACTATATCATAACAAGTATCAGTCATTGGCTTACAGCGACTGAATTACATTGAGCTGAGTTACATGCATATTTAAGCGAGAGTCCGTCACGCAGTCGGCTCTAGTGAACACATCATAAACCTGGAAGGTCAAAGATGCTAGGGATGCAAACAGTGATCTGTCGGGTCTACATGTCTCTAATTGGCCTTTAAAATGTCACCAGCTGCTGACATCAAATTAATGAACTTGTGGAGTGACAAGTCACCCGAGAGACCAGAGAGAGCAGAAACCATGACCTGGTGCTGAAAGCTCACATCTGAATTGAGAAGAACACAGATGGGCTGCAAACGTCTCTAAGCTGCAGGAGATAATGTGGTCATAGAGCTGCCTTTTCACTAGTGAACTATTAAAAACATTTGTTAATTGAAATAAAGCAGATAAAAAATTAAATATTACTTAATTAGGTGACATTTATAATTTTAATTTAGTGTAAGCTGAAGCACTAAAATTACTAACAGGAAATAAATAAAATTAAAAACTAAACTAACACTGAAATAAAAATAAATTAAACCTAAAAAGCAATTTCTAAAAAAAAATATATATATAATAAAATGTGTTAATTGAAATAAAGCTGAAATAAAATTAAAAATAAATATTAGACAAAAAAACGTAAACTTATTTATGCAACATTTCTAATTTTCGTTTACTTTAAGCTGAAGCACTAAAATTACTTTGTGGAAATTAGTAAAATATAAAACTAATCTAATACTAAAACTTAAATGAATACAAATTAATCCTAAAAAAGGAATCTTTAAAAAAAATGTTAATTGAAATATAATAAAAATAACTCAAGATGAAAAACATTTCTAATTTTTCATTTAGGTTGAAGCCGTAAAATGAATAAGTGGAAATAAATAAAATCTACAACTGAACTAAAACTAAAACTGAAATAAAAATAAATTAAACCTAAAAGGCAATATTAAAACAAAACAATAAAATTGACAAAACCACAAAACAAAATTACTAAAAATTTTATTTAAATTAAGACAAAAACTGAAAATATAAAAATAAAAACAAATTCTAAATATTAATAAAAACTATATCAAATTCTTTAACAACTGTGTAGCAATGCCCTGGCAACCATCCACAACACCATAGCAACTATATAGTAACAGCTGGAAACACTGTGAAGAAGTGTGGAAAATGTCCAAGTGCTATGGATCTATGTCAAGACTGAACTAACAAACATGTTTCTGCTCATTCACAGATGCTGTCATGAGGAATGAGCCGCGGCGTTAGTGTGCATCACTCACCTGTGTGGAGGATCGGCTGGGATTACGCACACCTGTGGGAGAACAGAAGAGAAGACAGTCAGCGACAGATGAACAAGAACTCAGACGACAGCTTACAGCGCTCACTGCACATCCCTTATGTAACTGACCGGACAATCCGCAGCGCTGTTTGTTCTTACATAAAGCACACTGACGGCTGCAAACGGGACGCAGATAATCTTTATGCATCTGATGACTATTAAAGCAATAGTTCACCAAAAACTAAAATTTACTGAAAATGTACTCACCCTCAGGCCATCCAAGATGTAGATGAGTTTGTTTCTTCATCAGATTTGGAGAAATGTAGCATCAATGGATGCTCTGCAGTGAATGGGTGCCGTCGGCTAAAATAATCCATAATAACGCTTCCTCCAGTAAAAAAATCCATCTCCTGTTGTTTCTCACATCAAAATCCAGCCACATGTTTGTTTTGTTCTGTTTTGGTTTGTAAACGCTGCTTGATCTGTGCAGATTTCTCTCCTGATTCAGACCAGACCACTTTTACACTGGAGAAGCGTTATTATGGATTATGGACTCGGATTTTAGTTAAAAACGTCTTAATGAATGATTTGTTTCAGCTTTTGTCTTCTCCAGATGTTAACTGATGGACTGGAGTGCTGTGGATTACTTGTGGATTATTGTGATGTTTTTATCAGCTGTTTGGACTCTCATTCTGACGGCACCCATTCACTGCAGAGCATCCATTGCTGAGACACTGATGCAATGCTACATTTCTACAAATCTGTTGAAGAAACAAACTCATCTGCATCTTGCATGGCCTGAGGGTGAGTAAATTATTATTATTTTTTTAATCATAGAATTTTTATTGTTGCAAATTGCATTTTTACATTTTATACCACCCCACCCACCATATACACCCCTACCCAGCCCCAACAAAGCAATCCCCAGGGCAGAATAAGAAAGGGTAACATTAACACCAAGATACTTGAATTTAGAACTCTCCAAGTGGAAAGGTATGTCATTCTGTTTTAATTTTTGGGCAGATTGATTTAAAGGTAAACATTCACTCTTCTGCAGATTTAGTTTATACCCAGAGAATTTCCCAAAATCATCTAATAGATGTATTATCACAGGAATAGATGCAATTGGATCGGTAACGTAGAGTAATAAGTCGTCAGCGTATAGGGCTAATTTATGTTCGATTCCCTTGCGGATTATACCTTGAAATACAGGAAGTGTTCTAAGCATTATTGAAAGGGGCTCAATAGCTACGGCAAAAAGTAATGGGGATAGGGGGCATCCCTGGCGTGTACCCCGTGATAAGGTAAAATACTCAGAGTTAACACTGTTAGTAGAAACTGAAGCTTGTGGGTCAGCATATAGTAGACGTATAGGGTGAGTACATTTTTAAGCAAATTTTGATTTCACCGACAACCTGAGTGTATCAGACTATGTCAATGGCAATTTTATTTATATAACACCATTAATTACAACCCAGGTCAGTTGGTTTCGATTGAATATGCAAAACACACGACAATTTTGAAATCCATTTAATCTCAAGAGTGTTTTTGCAGCAGAACAAGGCAAAGCCAGCAAAGAAACAGATCTCTCCGCTGTTATTCTTCAGTCGACAGCGAATGAGGAACAAGTTCACCACCGACACTTTTGACAAAACAACAACTCTGCCTGGAACCTGCAAGACATAGCCTATCGATCTTGACAGCATGTCTCAAGAAAGAATTGCAAGAAAGAAGAAGAACTGCAAGAAAGTAATGACACATGCATTTATTAAAAGGCAAACTGAGCTCCTCTGGGAATATCTCAGAGATCTGCAACGTCTTGCAATCAAACGTCATAAATCTCAATACTAACTCATGCATTTCTCATCAAATGATCTGAGCTACATTCGTTTTATATCTCTACTGTAAGTCAACTACTGCCTTAGGTGAAACATCTGATGACACATAACTGCAAACTCCATTTAGTCTCCTGAGCGATGAAAGAGAAACCTCTGAGCAATAAAATCATCCCCTGGAAAGGCATCAGCTCAATCCATCTGTAATAAATATCTCAATCTTTTAAGCCGTGGATAAGCTGCACAATGAGCACATTTCATTATTATCAGCAGCACTTCAACATGTGAAACGATTAAAGCATTAGGGATATCACAATGCCTTTAATTGGGCTTGAACTACAAAGATTTTAACCTCATTCTCCATTCAACACCGGAGCCTGGCAGGTCAGTTTCAGACCAGTATTTTAGTATCATTATTATTATTATTATTATTATTATTTAGTCATTTAGCAGACGCTATTTTTGCTGTTTTATGATAATTTTAGACTCATGCATGCTCGATATTCAATTTGACCTGCAGATAAAGGTCTATTTCGCATGCATCTCATGCGTTACATAATAGCTCAGTGCTGTCAAAAATGTACAATGCAAAAAAGATATTAGGAGCATGGCACAATTACATAGCATTTCATATCCAATTCTTGCACATAAGGTGCATTCAATATTAGGCACATTTTGTGATGCAGAACACTAGAAGGTAAAAAGGGAAATATATAAGCTGTTTCAAAACATTTGCATCCAAATCCATGTCAGTTTATTCAATATATATATAATCATATCATTACTATTATAGTTTTTTTTATTAATATTTTGAATTAGTTTTTATTTGTATATTTTCCATTTTCATTTTAATTTTTGTTAATGTTTTAGTAATTTTGTTGTGCATTTTTGTCATTTTTATTAGTACGTATATATAGTTTTTATTCATTATTATTTCAGTTTTAGTTATATTTAGTACATTTATTTTAGTTATTAGTTTAAACTTAATGAAAATGAGAAATGTTGCCTTGGCAACAGGGTTATTATAGATAATTAAAACCATAAACCAACTTTTTCATATCTTTAAATAAAATAAACTTGAACTGAAATAAAGTAAAATAAAAACTACTTTTTATATTTTATATTATAGTTGCCAATGCAACATATCTAATTTTAATTTGGTTTTACTGGTTTAAACTGAAATAAAAAATAATTAATATGATAAAAGCACACACAAAAAACTAAAGTTAAAATGAAATCAGAAAATATAAAACTTTAAATATTAATTTAATTAATAAAATATTAATAAAAACTAAAACAGTATCTCAATTATACTAAAATAACACTGATTGGCAACTAGCTGTATTAAAGTTTTACGTTTTTATGTAATTTTATTTCAGTTAAAATTTATTTTATTTCAAGTAACAAAATGTATTTATTTATGTATGTATATGTATGCATTTATTTTTTTTAATGGTTTTAGTTAACCATCATAACTCTGTTTTATACATACCCAAAACACAAATCCTAAACATCAACTATCATGGGCTACTGGATAATTTTAGCACATAATGTCAATTAACATGTTACACACAAAAAGCATTACGAATATGACATTTCTTTACAGCACAGGCCCTGATCAGGAGCTATTTTGTGTTCATCAGCATGTGTATTTCTCTGTGCATCAGAGAGTGAGTGAACAACGGTGACTGTGAGCACTTACATGGCTTTTATGCTTAGTTTATGCTGTTTTATGATTATTTTAGACTCATGCATGCTCGATATTCAATTTGACCTGCAGATAAAGGTCTATTTCGCATGCATCTCATGCGTTACATAATAGCTCAGTGCTGTCAAAAATGTACAATGCAAAAAAGATATTAGGAGCATTGCACAATTACATAGCATTTCATATCCAATTCTTGCACATAAGGTGCATTCAATATTAGGCACATTTTGTGATGCAGAACACTAGAAGGTAAAAAGGGAAATATATAAGCCGTTTCAAAACATTTGCATCCAAATCCATGTCAGTTTATTATATGTATAGAAATGCAATAATGGATGCGGAAGGTGTTGATTTGTCACCTGATCTGTCTCCGGAATGAAGCCGCACCGATCCGTCTTTATAGATCCTCACATGTTCCGCTCCTCCGGTACCAGCAGAATCCTCCCGAGAAGAGCGACAGCACTGGTAACACACAGCCCACGCCTGCTCCTCATTGATGGGCTGCTTGTATAGATGTAAAATCTCGTCCAGGGACAGATCGTCTTCATCCTCGCTGTCCATGAAGAGACGCGCATCCTCCTCCTCCTCTTCCTCTATCAGCTTGTGTCCGTCATCATCATCATCTTCATCTCTCCTGCGAGCCATCGTCTCATCCTATCCAGCAGAGAGGAGAGGAGAGGAGAGGAGTGCTGGAGATCAATGCACCTGCGCTCGGTGTGATGATGATGATGCTCACTGTTGATTCTGCATCAGAAACGCCAGGAATGGCAAGCTACGTCAAGCTAGGATGTAAAAGTAGGCGGGGCTTATTTATATTACGTCCCTACGAACTAAAAAGAATGGAGTTTACGTTTAAAATTAAATTAAAAAGTCTCTTTGTATGTATTTTTCAAAGTATACATTTACTACTTTGCATATCGAAGTAGCGAGATGTTAGCGCTGGCCAGGATGGACCAATCAGAGTCGCTTATTTTAAATTTTAAATGAAAAATTATGAAATGCGTATAATCACGATACAATAAAATAATCTGTAAGTATATTAAATTATTACTAAAGTTTTATTTTTTTAAAACATCGCCATGTCACGTGCTGTTTGTTACTTTTCTCAGCGCTGGCCAGGATGAACCAATCAGAGTCGTTTGTGATCACAGGTACGTATTTTTAATAAATTAATTTATAGAAATCGCTGAGTGGATTTTCATTTTTATGTCAGATAAAAAACCCGTATAATTAATACATTTACGATTACTTTTTTATTTTTTTTTTACAATAAACATCTCCAATAATATATAAAACGTCCTGAGAATTGAATGCGGCTTAATGTAGGATTCAGTCCTCTGAGCCCTTAAGCGCCCCCTTGTGGAAAAACAACAGTTTAGGAATAATTCGGGTGCCAAATGTTTGATATTCTTTGAAAATTCACATTGTTTTGAGAATCAAATTATATATGAGTAGCCTGAGGTGGCGTTGATTTGCCGCCAGAGGGTGATGATACGCAAACATTTCTTTACATACTTTCTCAGTTGAGCGCTTTGCCTGTTTAATATTCCGGTTTAAGGAATATTTCGACAACTTTCCTTTGATTAAATATATTTCTGGTGTAGTTTAACAGCGTCTTCCTCACCTGTGTCCACAAATTAATCATAAATACACCAGTAGCCTAATTGTCGCTGTCGCTCGGTAACCTTACTCAGAGACAAACGTTCAAACAAGCTTACGTAATCAATATTCATAAGCTAAGCCGTTACCAAAGTTTGATTGGCTAATTCACCAACTGACTCGCCAACGTCTTGGTTTTCAGCGAATCAGACGCGCCTGCGTCACATTACGTGTTTAATATTCATAAACCAATCCTAGTTCTGCTCATGCGCACACTGAATCCAAGCTTCAAAACAGAGTGAAACTCAACCTTCAGCACAGTTGTGTAGGTAAACTAAAACATATTACATAGTTATATATATATATATATATTTATAAGTATCGCTTTTTATTTCTCCTCTTTCGTATTACTTGTTTCGCTTCTGTTTCAGTTTTTATAACCATTTCTTACTATGTGTAAGTAAGTTGTTGTTTTTTAGCATGTAAGTTTGGCAGTGTTATTTTTTAGGATTACTGATAAACTACTGTCATTTGATTTGTATTATTTGTATTTGTTATTTATTTAAATTTTAGTTACATTATGTCTGAATTTATTATGTCTACAGGTATTTTATTAAGTTTTTAGTTTTATTTAATTTGAGTTATTTTAATACTTCAACAAACTAAATGGAAATGAAATAATATATATATATAT